ATCCAGCCATTCCACTTCTAGGTATTTACCCAAGAGAAATGAAGCATATGCCCACAAAATTATGCATGAATGGTCATAGCAGCTTTATGTGCAATAGGCAAAAGCTAGAAACACTCCAAATACTCACAATAGGTGAATGGATAAACAAATTGTGATATGTCCATGTAATTAAAGTTACTAAACAATTGGGGCACCTGGGTGGCTCAGTCGGTTAAGCATCTGCCTCAGCTCAGGTCATGATTCCAGGGTCCTGGGATGGAGCCCTGAATGGACTCCCTGCTCAGCCAAGAACCTGCTTCTCCCTCTCCCTCTGCCTGCCGCTCCCCCTGCTTGTGCTCTCTCTCTCTTTCTCTCCCTGTCAAATAAATAAAATAAAATATTTTTTTAAATAAGATAAAATTTAAAAAAATAAGATAAAATTACTAAACAATTAAAAGTAACAAACATGTTACATGCAATAACATGAAGCAATCTCAAAATACATGTGCTGAGTGAAAGAAGTCAGACAACAAAAGAAATACATACCGATGAGTCCATTTATGTAGTCTATTTACATACAATTTAAAATCCCACTATATTACAATTCATTCTATATATTTAAATATATAAATACTGTATTATGCATAACCATGTAATCATATACAATAGAGAATTCTAGAAAATGACAACTAATCTATAGTACGGAAAGTCCTGGCTAGTGCTTGTCTAAGGACAAAGGGGCAAAAGGGGGAGGAAAGGAAGGGCTTACCAAGGTGCCTGATGAACTGCAGGGCAATGTATATCTTCATTATCCTGATTGGGGAAAATGGTTTCACAGTGTATTCATATGTCAAAATTCACTAAACTGTACTCTTTATATATATGCAGTTTACTGTATGTCATTTCTATTTCACAGAGTGTAAGAAAATGCAATGTATAACAAGGTGACTCTATGTTTTCACCTGTGAGATACACAAAAATGAAACAGAATGATAGGGTTCTGATTCAAAGATAGTAAATTACACCCAGGAATCTGACTCTTCAGTTCACCCCAATCTTCCATCCTAAGTGACCAAGGAAATAATAAGATAAGATCTTAAAAGGAAATCCAACAGAAATCAAAGGGGAAGCACTCAGGCTACAGCAAGAACTCATCCAATTTTCAGTTAATTTAGTTGACAGTATTTCCTTAATAGTTTTGTTTGGTCACTAATTTTTCTCAAATCATTGGTGGCCACAGCTGGGTATCTGTAGTAGAAAGGATGAGGAGGTAGCATCAGGCAGAGCACTCCATCCTCTCTGTCTTTCTTTTGGGGTCTGCCTCTCAGGGAAATCCCCAAAGACTCTATCCGATGGTTCTTCCATGCGTGCTAAGAACTGACCTGCATTGGTAACTTTTGTCTTTATTGGTAACATGGGTATAAGGAATAGTTACTGAAATTGAGAAGATCTAAGAGCTAGGGAGCCATCCAGGTAAGAAATGGGGAGATGCTGAGAGAAGCTAGAAGGAGCAAGGAGGGAGTGGCTGGCCTTGCAGGTTTGGGGGATTCTCTCACCTTATCACTGTCTCCTGCCCCTCCCAGTTTTTCTTTCTCTTTGTCCCTTTCTCCCTCCAAAGTAAGGTTTCTGAGCTCTTCTTCTTCATGGTTATCTCAAAGGATAATTGATGAGCCTGCCCTCCTGCCTCTGTAGCTGGGTTCGCTCTACAGCCTTCAATAACGTGTACTTTGGGGGCCCTTTTCAGCCACTCTTCCCCCAGCACTGTTGCCCCTGCTGCCCAGGGTTCATGGAGTTTCTTCGCAAGCAGAACCCTAGCACTTCTTTCATAAATGCTTGGCTGTTTGTCATGCAGATACTTTTCCACTTCAGTTTTTTTTATTTCATTTAAAAAGTAATATGTCTGAAAGGCAGACATACAGACCAATGAACTAGAACAGAGAGCCCAGAAATAAGCCCTCACATATGTGGTCAAACGATTTTGACAAATGCCAAAACCATTCAATGGGGAAAGGACAGTCTTTTCAACAAAAGGTGCTGGGAAACTGGATATCCACATGCAAAAGAATAAAGTTGGACCCTTACCCAACATTATATACAAAAAACCCAAAACAGGTCAAAGTCCTAAATATAAGAACTAAAACTATAAAATCCTTAAAATAAAACAGGGCAAGGGGTGCCTGGGTGGCTCAGTTGGTTAAGCGTCTGACTTCAACTCAGGTCATGATCTCAGGGTCCTGAGATCCAGCCCTCCATGGGGCTCTCCTCAACAGGGAGTCCGCTTGTCTCTCTCCCTCTGCCCTTCCCCCACCTCGTGTGCATGCTCTCTCTCTCTAAAACAAATAAATAAATAATCTTAAAAAAATTTCTTTAAATAAAACAGGACAAAAGCTTCAGGACATTGGATTTGGTGATGATTTCTCAGATATGAAACCAAAAACACAGACAACAACAACAAAAATAGACAAATTGGGCTTCCTGAAAATGCAAAAAAATTGTGCATCAGAAGACACTATTAACAGAGTAAAAAGGCAATCCACAGAATGGGGAAAATATTTGCAAATATCTGATAAAGGATTAATATCCAGAATGTGTAGAAAGCTCCTAAAACTCAACAACAAATAATCGATTCAGAAATGGACAAAAGATTTGAATAGACATTGCTCCAAAGAAGATATACAAATGGCCAATAAGCACATGAAAAGATGCTCAACCTCACAAATCATTAAAGCAATGCAAATCAAAACGACGATGAGATACCACCATATATCCATTATGTTGGCTACTAAAAACAAAAACAAAACCAAAACCAGAAAATAACGAGTGTTGATGAGAATGTGGAGAAACTGGAACCCTCTTGGGCTGTTGTTCGGAATGTAAAATTGTGCAGCTGCTATGGAAAACAGCATGGCCCTTCCTCAAAAAATTAAAAATAGAACTACCATATGATCCAGCAACCCTATATGTGGCTATATATGCCAAAGAATTGAAAACAGGGTTTCAAAGAGGCATTTATACACCCATGTTCATGGTAGTGTTATTCCCAGTAGCTAAGATGTGGAAGCAACCCAAGGTCCCTCAAGAGATGAATGAATAAGAAAAATGTGGTATAGTCATATAATAGAGTGTTATTCAGCCTTAAAAAGAAAGGAAATCCTGTCACATGCTACAACATGGATGAACCTTGAGGACATGCCAAGTAGAATAAGCTAGTCACAAAAGGGTAACTATTATATGATTCCACTTACATGAGGTATCTAAATGCATAGAAACAAAGTAGAACAGTGGTTGCCCTGGCCTGAGGGGAGAGGGAATGGGGAGTTACTGTTTAATAAGTACAAAGTTGCAGTTTTACAAGATGAAAAGAGTTCTGGAGATGGATGATGGTAATGGTTGCACAACATTATGAATGTATTTAATACCACTCAACTGTACACTTAAAAATGGTTAAGATGGTAAATTTTATGTTGTGTGTATTCTGCCACAATAAAAAAAAATGAGGGGGAAAAATATATACATGAACAAGTTAAAAACAATTCAATAGCAGAAAAAAATTATATTGTAAAAAAAGAATTCCCCCTTTATTTACCCACATTTACCAGTGGTCCCTTTCCCATGTGAGCCCTGAAGTTGCCTCATATACTCTTTGGAGACTCTCACACATATAACATTTTGGACACTGTGTCTGGCTTTCTTTGCTTTGACTTAGCCCTATGTCCTGATGTGTTTCATATGAGATTATATAAAACTTCTTTATTTTTTTTAAAGATTTTATTTACTTTATTATTTGAGAGAGAGAGAATGAGAGACAGAGAGCACGAGAGGGAAGAGGGTCAGAGGGAGAAGCAGACTCCCTGCTGAGCAGGGAGCCAATGTGGGACTCGATCCCGGGACTCCAGGATCATGACCTGAGCCGAAGGCAGTCGCTTAACCAACTGAGCCACCCAGGCGCCCAAAACTTCATTATTTTTAATGGTTGCACACTGGCCCATTTTATGAATGCATACTTATTATTCCATTTGCATAAAGTTCCTAAATAGGCAAAACTAAACTTTGGTGTTACAATTCAGGAAAGCAGTCACCTCGGAGGAGGAGCCGGGCAGCGACTGAGGGGCGGGTAGCTTCTGGGGTGCTGGTCATGCTCTGTTTCTTAAACTCAGTTATGGTTAGACAAGTGTGCCCACATTGTAATAATTCATTGAAATGTGATTTCTGCACTTTTCTGTATAATGTTGTGCTTCACCTTTACCAAATTTAATCTCACAGTTTAGTGGGAAAGGTGTAAGTAGAAGCAAATAACCATGGCTCAGTTTGGTAAATGAATTTAGGACTCGATCCCTTGCACCGTTGCGGCTACAGACCCCAGAGGCGCTGGAGGCTGCGGGCATGCTGACCCCAGCCGTTGCTAGCTGGATAGCCCCGGGCTAGTCACAGAGTTGTGAGGCCCCTCTATCCCCACATCTGCGAAATGGGAATAAGAATACAGCTACCTGACAGTTAGTGCAAGGATTTAATATAATCTATGTAAAATGGGTAGAAGTGCTCCGCAAACACACAGCTGGTGTTCGATTAACGCCAGCTACCAAGTTACCACAGAACTGTAATTTTTACATGGAAAAGGATTCTCCCCAGTGCCCGGTAAAGAAATGCTTTGGGTAAAATACCCAGCCCCGGCCTCCTCGTGGACTACACGCTCACGAAGTAGCGTGGTCGCAGGTGCTGCCGCTCGGGAACGAAGTCTTCCAGGACAGGTGACTCTCAGAACCCCCTAGACTCTGCCCGGGTCCCCTTTAAAAGCCGAGCCATGACGTCACCCCGCCCCCCCAAAACACGGCGCAGCCTACCTTGGAAGCGCCCCGGCAATACTTCCGGGAGGCCTCAATTGGCTGGTCAGCACCCGGAGGCCCCGCCCCCTTGCCCGCAGCAGGCCCGGGGCGCTCGCCGTCAATCCGCACGAGTGGGAGCGGTGATTGGCCGGGGTGGGGGGGGCGCCCTCCAGCAAGCCCCGCGGGGCTAGCGTAAGCTGCGCGTGCGGGATGGGAGGGGCGCGGCACCGTGTCTAGAGCGGCCGCGGTCTAGGTCCGCACGCCCGCCGGTCCTTCCTGCAGCCCCGCGCTGGGCAGGGCCGGCCCGGCCGGGCCATGGAGTCCTACGACATTATCGCCAACCAGCCCGTGGTCATCGACAACGTGAGGCCCGGCAGTCGGGGGGAGGACGGGCGCCCTGCCCCCGGGGGCGCACGCGGCGGCGCCGGGAGGGACCCCCGCCAGTCTCCACTAGTCCTCCATGCACTGCCCGCCCGCCACGTCCGCCTAGGGCTCTCCTGCTCAGCTGGCTCTGTCGCCTGGGCCTTGGGGCTAGCCCCTACACCGGTGCAGCGGAACTCCTGCCCGAAGCGGCCCCCCCGCCCCCGAGCCCGGCGGGGAGGTACTGGAGAGGCAGGGGATCCATCTGTCTAGCGACACTTGATCAACATCGGAAGTGCTGGAGTGACAGCCCGACGGCCCAGCCATGCACCCGTGTGTCAGGCCTGGGGACGCACTCTGAACTCTTCTTGGTTGAAAGGGGGGTCAGTGGTTAGGTTTCGGCCCCAGCCCCTTTACCCTCTTCTCGGGCTCTGGGTGCCCCTCCTCGTGGAAGAGGAGAGACAGCATTTGTCCTTTTGCACAGTGCTGGTCTGATCTTTCAGAGAGAGTTCGCTTGGTGACCTCCACAACAGCAGTTCCCAAGAGGCTGCAACTCTTAGCAGAGTGTCTAGAGTGGACAGGCCCTACTGGGCTCTTTGGTGAGGCGGGGAGGGGGATATATATATATCTTAAGTTCTGCCAACCACATATCCACCATCACCTGGTTGGCCACTTGGCTCCTTTGACCCTCTCCTTAAGTACTCCTTGCCGGTGCTGAGCAGAAATTCCACAGCTAGCAGGACAGTGGGGAGAGTTCAGGACCACTCTTCTCAAGACCCATAGCAGTTTGGGATAATGGTTTGGAAGCTTCAGAGAAAAGTTGCCTGGCTTCCTTGTGGCCTTGTCCTTCAGCACTGGGGCTCAGCATGTTTTCAGCTGCCCTCTGAGGATTTCTGACCTCAGAACTTTCCGGTCCATGGGAGAAAAATGAAGGGCAGGAGATCTATAGATCTGCCCCTAGCTGGGTGTTTGCCTGAGCTGTGTGTGCCTTGGAGTTTTTGATTATGACTCACTCCTCTTTCTGGGATGTGTCTCCCTCCCACATGACCCCCATGTAATCCTGAATGGCTTTTTTTTTGTCGGAGTATCCACGTGGGCTCCTTGAATCACAGCAGGGGATGTTTAATAAGAAGGCTAGAACTGGGCTCGGAGGTCCTCTCCAATAGGCTACAGGAAGGACTAGGACACTTCCTTTCTTGGGCAGATCATTCACTTAGGCTAACTTAGGCTAACCAACAGGCTTAGGAGTTCAGAGGACAACCTTCCTGGTCCCCGTGGGCTTCCAGCCTCTCCTCTCTAACGTGAGGATGTTTATTTCTGCACTGCACCAAAAGGTTGTGACAGTGATCTGTGGGAAGTGAGGTTGAGAGGCTGATTGCTTCATTAGTGGGAGGTTTCTAGATACCAGGTTCCCTTTAAGATCCTAAGTCTAGTTTCCATGCTGGAGCAGTGGGGGGACCAAGTTCTTTACCTGTAGTCTTTGGAGAAGCCACTTGAAGAGAGGTGCCAGTTGTCACTGTGTACACAGTGATCATCCCCGGGTGGGTCCTGTATGAGGTCAATGTCTGCTGGGATGGGAGGTGGGGGTGGCCAGGGGCTATTGAAAAAAAACTATGCTTGGAGGTTGCTTCTAGATGACTTTGGGGAGTAGCTTATGCTGCTATGGATTCCTCCTGCCTAGAACTGACCCTAGAGTGTGCAGAGGAGGATGTAGTTCATGTTTTCTCAATCTCCACAATATTGACGTAGATAGATAGTTTTAAATAATTCTTGGTGTGTGAGGGGCTGGCCTGTGTATTGTAGGATATTTAGTAGGATCCCTGGCATCTACCCCCTAGGTGCCAGTAACCCTCTCCCCCTGCTCTCCCCTCCCCAGTCTCCAGACATTGTCAAATTTGGGAGGAGGGGTGCAAAATAACCCCCGAGTTGTGAATCCCTGGTGTCCTTGTAAATGATCTTGCCCTCTTGGCAGGATCTCAGACTTCCTCCCCAGGCTGCCATGATGGAGCAGCCAGTTCTCTCTACTGCAGGGCGCTGCCTTCATCTGGAGGTGTATGTCAGGAGCTAAACATTGTTTTTCCTTGCAGGGTTCGGGGGTGATCAAGGCTGGCTTTGCAGGAGACCAGATTCCCAAATACTGTTTCCCAAACTAGTAAGTGTTGCTCAGGCAGCAGCCCTAACCTTTTTGTTGGATTCCTAGAAGAACATTGGCTCTCTGTCACAGCTCTCTTTGAAGCCAACTCTTGCCCCCCACCTATAAGGGAAAACATCAGACTTGTGAGGCTAATGCTGTTACCGGCTCTGGAAGGACAAGACAAGTGCTCTGGGCTTCCTCCTCTTTGAAGTCTCATTTGGTCCCTCCTTGAGCCAGGAAGGAAGGAGAAGCCACCAGCATTCTGTTGGGAACAGGGTGGCATAGCAGCAACAAGAATGGAAGGGAGACAGCTCTGGGAGAAAAACCCAAACTCAGAGGAGAAAGAGTGGAGTATTAATGCACAGCCATCCTTTCCTCCCAGGAAATGTTTCTTTCAGGGCTTGTTTATTTTCCAACTCTAGAAAATAATGGGTTTCAGTCAAGGGGAGTGTTTCCCTGAATAGAGCTGGTGACAGCAGGGGTAAGGGGGGAAAGCACGGAATAAACCTGGAGTGCTCCTTCGGCTACTGTAGCCCATCGGGAAGTTTTCCCTAGGTGGTGCTTCTTCTCAAATCCTGGAGGTTTTAGAGGGATTAGCCTAAGTGGGGGCATTGGGGGGCCCCAAAGTGGCTGGCTATACCAAGAACCCCAGGCCTGGTCTGGGGACAGGGCCAGCTTGGAGCACCAAGCACTTAGTAGGGCTTCAGCTTTCTTTTCTGAACCCCACTTTGGTACAATTAAAAGTTCCTATTGATGTGCAGGGAACTTGGGGCAAATTTTGGAATGGTAGGTCGTCCATCCAGTCTTCCAAGAACTGAATCTGTATTCTGAAAGCCCTGGCAGTGGGCAGGGGCAGGATCAAATGAATGAGAGAGGGGTGCACAAGGGAGCCATGACCCAACTTTGGGACCTTGACCTGTAGACAGTGGCAGCAGCCCTGCCCTTCTGAAATCGAAAGTGTAGGCTGAGTCATTGTGGCTACAGAAGCTGACCCTCTGCCAGGGCTGGACCATAAAGGGCCGAGATTCCAGAGCTCCGCCCTCTCTGGGAGGGAGGGTGAGGAATGGAAAGGGTACCTTTTCTTCTGACCCTGAGCATGCCATCCTGCCAAGGCCTGCTATGTAGGCCCATATCCCCTAGGCCTGGGTTCTGGCTTTTGCCATGTGGCCACGTCCAGATGCTTTGGAGCAGTTACCCTTTGACCACAAGAGTTAGACTTTGGTTTTCCTGGACGTGGGCTCACCCACGCCCCCCACCCACCTTGCTGACTCGACCTGTCCTTGCAGTGTCGGGCGCCCTAAGCACATGCGAGTGATGGCTGGAGCCCTGGAGGGGGACCTCTTCATTGGACCAAAAGCAGAGGTAACACCTGTGGAACCTGCCTTTGCCTGGGCTTGGGGTCTTCATAGTCCCGGGAACATGGGCTCGTGGTCAGACCTGTACCTCCCGAGAGGGAATCTGTTTTCTGGGGCCATCTGTCTGGTATCTTCCTGGGCTCTCAAGGCTTCAGCTCGGAAACACCCTGAGATGGCACGAGGGTTCCTGTATGGGGGAACAGACTACTTCATGCCCTGTCTTGTAGAGCGATTTGGAAGCTACAGAGGAAAGAATTGATTAAAAAGTGACTTAAGAGTCTGGATCCCTCAGACTTGACGACTGATAGAAATGAGTGTCATGGGGCCACCTCTTACACTCCAGGTGGGGTGGCTTATCTAAGTGCTGCATGGCCAGAGGAGGCCCCGGGGGGAGGAGCGGAGGTGTAGGGGGGCAGCAGCAAGTGCAGTTTAGGCACCGGGGGGACACAGTGGGGTGGGGGGGCTGAGCCAGGGGTGCAGAGATGCGGGCCTCTCAGGAGGTGGGGTCGGTAGGAGCCATGGCTGTGGGTGAGAGGGGTCCAGTGGTGTTTGGTGAAAGGGGGCACGCTCTGGGGGGCCACTGAAGGGCAGGTCTGTGCAGGACGTGTGAGCAGTGGCTGAAAAGCTGGAAGGAGCAGTGAGCAACAGGTGACCACAGGAGAGAACAGTGTGGGATCGGCCACAAGGCGGCTCCTGGCTCCAGAGCAGTCACTGCAGAGTGGTGGGGAAGGAAACTGGGCAGTGTGAGGGGAAAAGAGGGGAGAATATGTTGGCGGCAAGTAGAGAAGCCCCCGAAGCACAGCCAGGGGAGGAAGGGGAGGACTAGCATGGGAGGGAGCACGTCACCACCCTCGCTGTCCCCTGCCAGTTGAAGCTGACTGGGCCCTGAGGGCCTGAGAAGCTGCTGCTGGACAGAGGAGCCTGTGCTGAGTGCAGGACCTGCCACCAGGCTTGGGGACACCCAGGAAGCAGTGGTGGTTCTATTCAGGGCAGATGAAGGGGTGGCTTCCAGGAAGGCGGAAAGCGGTTGCTGGAGAGGGGCTCGGCGCTCCGGCTGACCTTCCCACCCTCCCCCACAGGAGCACCGGGGGCTGCTGGCCATCCGCTACCCCATGGAGCACGGCGTGGTACGGGACTGGAACGACATGGAGCGCATCTGGCAGTACGTCTACTCCAAGGACCAGCTGCAGACTTTCTCCGAGGAGGTGTGACAGGCGGCCCCGAATTCCCCACTCTGCCCTTGCTCTGCAGTCTCACTGCTCTTTCCTTCCTGGTTGTGCTGCCCCGCTTCCTCTGGATTTTATTAGCACCTGCTGCCTCTTCGTGGCGTGGATGCGGGTCCGCACAGTCGGTGGCTGCCAAGTCGAGTTCTCCAGAGAAAGCGGGATCTTTGGAAGGGGAACTGCTGACAGATAGTGGGCTGTTGCCCTTGGGCAGGACGGCAGGCTGCAGCAGCCTGTGCTCGCAGCAGGGGGCTGGCCGGCTGGGAAGATCCTTCTAGGGCCTAGCACGTTGTCTGCGCGTGCCTAAACCCTGCCATCTCTTGTAGCATCCTGTTCTCCTAACGGAGGCTCCACTTAACCCGAGTAAGAACCGGGAGAAGGCAGCAGAGGTGTTCTTTGAGACCTTCAACGTGCCAGCCCTGTTTATCTCCATGCAGGCCGTGCTCAGCCTGTGAGTGCTCCCTAAGCCCTGGGGGTCCCCTGGGTCCCCGTCCTCCCTGCGGCCATCCTCCTGCTCATGTCTCACTTGCCCATAGAAACAGCCCCCTGGTAACTGTTCCTTTGGGAGTTCCTCAGGTCCCTTTTTCAGACCCAATAATGCCCATGTCCCAGGGTCCCTTCCAGGGGTGAGGAGCGCCCCGTACCTCAGTGGCTGAGGTGAAGGGATGCTGACCTGGTGACAGGTATGCAACAGGACGCACGACGGGAGTGGTTTTAGACTCAGGGGACGGGGTCACTCATGCTGTCCCCATCTACGAGGGCTTTGCCATGCCGCACTCCATCATGCGCGTGGACATTGCTGGCCGCGATGTCTCCCGCTACCTCCGGCTACTGCTGCGCAAGGAAGGAGTTGACTTTCACACCTCAGCCGAGTTCGAGGTTGTCCGGACCATCAAAGAGGTGACAGATGGCAGGAGGGTGTGGAGGCAGGCTGGGTGCAGCAACGGGAGGTGGCGGCACCAAGGCGTGAGGCTAAGCCCCGGGTGTGGGTTTCCCAGTTGCAGCCTTCTGAGCAATGTGTCCCTGCCCACCGCAGCGAGCCTGCTACCTCTCCATCAACCCGCAGAAGGACGAGGCTCTGGAGACGGAGAAGGTGCAGTACACCTTGCCAGATGGCAGCATGCTCGACGTAAGTTGCCCGGCCTGGCACTGGGGGGCGGTGGTGATGATGCTATCTGGAGGAAGAGGCCCCCTCAATCTTGTGTTCCAAAGGTGGGGCCAGCACGGTTCCGGGCCCCTGAGCTGCTGTTCCAGCCAGACCTGGTAGGTGATGAGAGTGAGGGGCTCCACGAGGTGCTGGCCTTCGCCATCCACAAGTCTGACATGGACCTTCGCCGGACGCTGTTCACCAACATTGTGCTTTCGGGTGGCTCTACGCTTTTCAAAGGTAGCCCCATTTGGGAGGTGGCAATCAAGACTAAGGTACCATCAGGACTTAGACTGCACCCCCCTCCCTGGAGCCTGGGACGTGGCCCGTTTTCTATTGGCTTTTTGGTACTCAGCATTTATTTTTTTAAGAGAAAGGCTTAAAATTAAATTTTATTGACTTTGTAAGTAGGTGATAAGTTCACATAAGATCTGAAATGTTTGAGATGACATCTCCCTTTCCCCACTGTCTTGGTCGCCCTGCCCCTTTCCCCGGCAGGTACAGGTTCCTCAGCTGTGCGCTCAGCAACACTGTGCAGGTGTAAGCAAAAGTACGTTCCCCTTGCTCCCGCTTTTACACCCATCATAACACGCTCCCCAAGCTGCACACCATGTATTTGTCACATAGCCCCATATCTGGAAGGTCTTTCCCCATCCATGTGAGCTCTTTCATATGGCCATGTGGCATTTCACTGAATGGATGTGCCGTTTCCCCCTTGACCTGCTGATGGCCTGCGAGGTTGTTGCAGCCATCTCTAATCACAGAGGTGCTCCATCGGACAACCTCACGCAGTAAGAATATCCCTAGGGGAAATCCCTGGAGACTTGCTGAGTCAGAGGGTGGGCATAGGTTCTCGTTATCTGGTAGATACTGCCAAAGTGAGTCCCCCAGGGCCCTCCCAGCACTGCGTGTGATCTTTGCCTCTGTGATGGGCAGAAATGGTAGATATTCCCCTGATTTGTCATTTACCTGTGACTTTGCTTTGGATGGAAGAGCGCAGGAGCCAGACTGAGCTGTGTGACTCGGGGTTCCCTATCACACTGGCTCTCTGAGGAAGCTGGGCCCACCTCAGGCATGGTGCTCTTTCCTGCCCTTGGGGTCACTTGCCCCCCTCCTTGATCCTGGAAAGAACTAGTAAAAGAAGGGTGGCAGCAGCTGGGGACACCAGAGGGTGGAGATGGGGGTCCTAGTGGTAAGGGGGTTCAGATGTGGGCCCTGGGCTCAGCCAGCCTTGTGTTCACAGGCTTCGGTGACCGATTGCTAAGTGAAGTGAAGAAGCTTGCCCCAAAGGATGTCAAAATCAAGGTGAGGTTACAGGGAGCCCCATGGGGCATGGGGGTGCTAGGCAACCTTGACTGTGGGGGAGGAAAGGACAAATGCCACCTCGACACCCTCTCACTCCCAGCTCAGCTCGGCCACCTCCTCCGCGTCCGGCTGCTCCCACTGCTCCCAGCTGATACACTTGCTACCTGGCCTCGGACCCTGAGGGAAGGGCTCCCAAGGCTGGGGTCGGGGCTGCCGTGTGGGATGGACAATTACATTGCTGCTTGTTCCCTCTAGATCTCGGCCCCTCAGGAGCGGCTGTACTCCACGTGGATCGGGTGAGGCGGGGCTCACGGGGAGGGCTCTGGGAGGAAACCATTGGCCCAGGCCAGGTGGAGGTGGGTTCCCTCCCAGGTAAAGGAGATGGAGCTCTGAGTGCCCAGAAATGGTCGATGGCCGAACCCTTGGGTCCACAAGAGTCTATCCCTCCCTTCTCACAGTGGCTCCATCCTGGCCTCGCTCGATACTTTTAAGAAGATGTGGGTATCCAAAAAGGAGTATGAAGAGGATGGCTCCCGTGCTATTCATCGTAAAACCTTCTAGTGCCCGAAGAGGTGTAGCGTGTTGGGAGAGTGGGAGGAAAGGGGAGTCAGAGCCCTTACCCCTTTCTGGTCTGGGCTCACATCCTAGGCCTAGGGTCCCCTGCATGCCCTGAACCCTGGGCAGATGGGGCAGCCATGCTTCCCTGCAGCCCTCCCCTGCGCACGCGCACACACACACACACATACACACACAGTAACATTTAGCTGCATGGATGGAGTCATGAGCCGGAACTTAGGAATTGAGGAGCCCAGCTTTGGATTGTTCCAGGGGTCTTCCCTGGCAGGGTCTTGTTCTGACCCTTGGGGCTGCTTCCCCAGGCTCCGAGGCCAGGATCCCACCCAGAGCCAGAGTGCCTGGATGCCTGCGTAGCTAGCCTTGAGGCGTGGGTGGAGGGGTAGCCAGCAGCTCCCCACTGGTGCGCCACCGCTTCCTGTGCCACACCTAGGCATCCCTTACCCTATCGCATTCAGTCCTCCTGTCTTCCTAGGTGGATGCCTTGGTGTAGGCTGAGGACTGGGCAGTCTTCCATCCCCAGCCAAGGGTCTGGCCCAGGATCAGACCCTTTGAAGCCAGGGCAGAGGATCACGGGGTCCGGGTGGCCACAGTTTATTGCGGTCTCCCTTCAAAGCACTTCATTGACACTGCTCCCTCTCCTTCACCTTAGTGCCCTGGGTAGGAAAGGGTTAACGGTCTTCCATTTGTTGAGAGGAAGCCACTTAATCTGAAGTCAGACCTAGAAGGAGTAAGGGGGGCACATTTCCTTTTCCCACCTCTCCCATGAAGGAGGTTTTCATTGACCCTGTGGCCAGGACCCCCAATTCCCTCTCCCAGATATGTACAATAATTTAACACAGTTGCCTGAAAACTTTTTTTGTAAATCATTATAGTAATAATTATGGACAAGGCCTAGTGCGTGGCTCTGTTTTCTTGTGGTTCTTTGTGTTGTTGTTCACTCATCCATCCCTGGGGACTTTGAGAGAAAGGACCAGCAAGAAGGCAGCATGGCACTGGCTCTAGCTCAGAAGCCTGAGGGTTTCAGTGGTTGGCAGGGCAACGAGGCACAGGAGGCCCCAGGAGGTTGGGCTCTCAACCTGGTGGTAGAATTCCCCCGCCTCATTACCCACTTGCTGCAATCCACCAGGAGGAGTGGAGAACTGAGAAGCAGAGAACAAGGCTGCCTTCCCCAGCCTTATTCCTGTCTTTGCCCCCAAAAACGTATGGGTTAGGGGAAGAAGATGGACTGGCCATTTTGGTAGCATTGTGGGGCTGGGAAGAGGGGCATCTAACCCAGCAAGTGGTGGGTTGACTTGCACAGGTTCAGGAGGGGTCAGGCAGGTAGGGGAGGGTGTTCCCAGTTGAGGTAAGAACTCAAGGGGATGCCGGGGACCAGTGGGGCTTGAGAGGGCATGGACCCAAGTGATGCCAAGTTAGCAGGGAAGGGTGAGTGGCCTCCTCTGGTTATAATGCAAGATAAACCCAAAAGGGAGGTTGGGGCCAGCTTGTGGAGGGCCTTGAGAGGGTTTTTAGCTGTGTCCTAGGTGATGGGCAGCTGGCCATGGAAGGATGGTTGTCATAGCTGTGTGTTGAAGGCATTTGGATTTGGTGGGGTTGAAGGAGGGTCAAGAGCTGAGATCAGGTAGTAAGGGAGAGCTGCCTGAGGCCTGTCGTCACAGGGTATTTTACCAGGCTTTGTGGTCACAGGGTAGTTAAGCCTGTACGTGCCCTCAAGGGGAAAACAGTTTACAGAGAACGCTTTTTGGGGTTGGGTTCATGGTACCACTTTCTCCAAACTACACAGGTTTGGAGCATTATTACTTTGACTCCTTCCTTTTCCTTACCTTCTCCACTTTCTGCCATTTACCAAGTTCTGTTGGTTCTTCTATGCCTTTCTATGCTCCTTTACTGTGCTGGCCTCTAGCACCGTGTCTTATGATGCTAGCTTCATCCTCCCCCCTACCCAGTCCATTTGCTCTTGGATCTCAAGCCCACATAGCCTTGGTTCTGCCACTTCCTAATCCAAAATATCAGGCAGTTCTCCACTGCCTGGCAGAAAAAAACTGAATTGATGTGCCGCAGGTGAAATCCCCTTCATGAACTACATGCTGCATTAAATTCAGGCCCATTGGGATCTGTTCCTTTCCTGTTGTAGGTCCACACATAGTCATGCTTTGCCCGCCAGCATCTACTCTCTGCCGGGAATGACTTTCCCTCATGTCTGTCAAAACCCCATCCTCTAAGGCCAAGCACAATGCAGCATCCTCCCCACTCCCTCTTCCAATAGGGACAGTATGGTTACAGATCTCTGGTCATGCCAGGTTTCCCACTGTTGGAGAAAAGCTACAGACAAAAAGGTGGTAAAGCAAGAATGAACTTTGTGGTATTGGATTGGGATTGGAGGTATGGACTTATGGTTTTTAATACACATACAGATAGATGCTGAAATAAAGAGGCTGCAGTGTGTGAATGCTGGGGTTAGAATATATGTGCGTATTTCCCAGCTGTGTCTGCTTGGAGGACCTAGACACAGTGACACCCCAATAACAGGCACATACAGTTCTTCTAAATACCACTCTTCAGTAGAAGGAATCAGATCTGGAGGAATTCCAGATCTAGAGCAGAGAAAGTATAAAATGAGCCTGGACTATCTTGTGGTACCATAGAGTAAGGAAGTGCCCCAAAAAGGAGGGGGCTTGTTGTCTTAAGGACACAGAAACCAACTTGAAGGAGCCACCCAGTGATCAAATCTGTGGTGGATGATAAGCCACAGAATAAAATACTTATGAGTCCACTCTGATATAAATAAACTGAATAGATGTAAACATAGGGGGAGGAGGGACAGTTCTTCCTTACAGTAGTTCAATTCCTGTAGAAGGAATAATGGAAAATGGAAATCACCATAGGCAGGCAAACACCACGGTACTAATTGTAGACAAAAATGGATGCAAACATTAGTGAGCAAAAGCAAGGACATTTGCATTGCTTCAGAGTATTTCCCCACAAGATAACTAGTAACTACAAAAAGGAAAAATAGTAACTTTATGGCGGAGAAACCTAGTGGATAGCACCTTAAGCCAATGATCAAAGTGTGCCTCCCCAGTCATTAGTCACTGTCTCTTGAGGTGCCGCACTAAGGGTGCAGTGTCACCTGTGCTATTCCCATCACCTCAGTCTGGCCAGGAACAAACAAGCAAACCCAAACTCAGGGCATCCTACAAATTAAGGGACCAGTTCTCTTACTCAAAAGTGACAGGTTATGAAGGTAAAGACAGCAACTGTCACAGATTGGAGAAGACTAAGGCATGACAGCAAAATGCAATGTGAGGTCTGGGACTGGCGAGGACCTTACTGGGAAAGCTGGCAAAATCAGTGTGAATAGCACCGTGTAAGTGTGAATTTCCTGGTTTCAGTCATTGTGCTGTTAACATTAAGGGAGACTGGGTGGAGGGTAAACAGGAACTCTGTGCAGTCTCTGCAAATCTAAAATTACCTCAAAAGGGTGGGGGGCGGGGACAGCTCAGGCTCAAGCTGTGTTCTGCATTCACAATCCTGTCACCACAACTAGCTAGCTGCATAATCCTGAGCTGTTCCTAGGATTCCCCATCTCTAAAATGGGGGTGATAATAAGAGTACCTACCTCATGAGTTTATAACAGCCTGGAAGGGTGAACCTAGAACATTTTGTGCCAGAAAATTAAAAAAGTGCTCAGAGAATGGTAGGGACATGTCAAAAGGCCACAGATGCCAACTTGAAGAAGCTCCTACCAGCCAAATTTGGAACAAATTAAACATCAGAAGCTAAATAATAGTTACGAATTATAATCCACTGAATATAATAAAGCATGAGTCCATTCTGATATAAATCAAAGTCTTGGTGAGGAGCAAGTGACATTTCAAAGTGTTGCCCGCATAAGATACTTATTAAGGAGCAACTGCACAGTGAAGTCTGGCAGACATTAGTTTAACCAGGCAACCGAAGTAAATCCTATCAGCAGTGGGACAAGGCGACATCACACACCTAGCAGGAAGAGTGCAGCATCACCTCTGCAGTGCTCGTGCCCAAGACACATAATGCTGAACCCAGTCCTGGGGGAACATCAGACCAACCCGAGTTGGTGTAATTTTCAGAAGTCTGGAAAGACTGAGGAACTGTTCCGGAGGGGAGACGACTAAAGGGACATGACAACTAAAGGCAACATAGGATTCTGAACTGGCTCTATAAAGGATATTATGGGCACACTTAGCAACCCTTGAATAGGGTCTGAGGATTAAATGGCAGAACTGTGTAAATTGTAACTTCCTGATTTTTGATGGTCATGTTATAGGTATATAAAAGAATGTCTTTGTAAAAAACATACACTGAAGTGCGATGGGGCATCAGATCAGCAGCTCACACTCAAATCGTTCCAGGAAACAAGTTCTTTATTCTGTACTTGCAGATTGTTTAATACCGTCAGAGTGAGGCTTATCTTCTTCCCTCGAGTCTATAGGCTGCATTCCTTGCCTGGTATTCCTTCGATTCTAGCCTCCTTCTTCCATCTTCAAAACAACAATGCTGCATCTCTCTGACCATTCTCCCACAGTCACATCTCCCTTCAACTCTCTTCTTCTGCTGCCCTCGAATTATTGAGCCCACCTGGATAATCCAGGATAATCTCCCTATTTTAAGGTCAGTTGATTTGCAACCTTAACTTTTTACTACATTACCTAATGTATTCACAGATTTTGGGACTAGGATATGGACATCTTTGGGGGGCCATTATCCTGCCTACCACAGTCTGGACATGTACTGGGGATTTTTCTTTCTTTAGGGGAGAATATGTTTTTTTTTTTTAAGCAATCTCAACATCCAACCTGGGGCTCAAACTTAAAACCCTGAGATCAAGTTACATGTTCCACTGACTGAGCCAGCTAAGCGCCCTGAGAATTGGGTACAGTTTTATTTATTTATTTATTTTACAATTTTATTTATTTGACAGAGAGAGACACAGTGAGAGAGGGAACACAAGCAGGGGGAGTGGGAGAGGGAGAAGCAGGCTTCCCACTGAGCAGGGAGCCAGACGTAGGACTTGATTCCAGGACCCCGGGATCATGACCTGAGCCGAAGGCAGATGCTCAACGACTGAGCCACCCAGGCACCCCTGAGTACAGTTTTAAAAAGCAGAGGGTCTTGAAATTGAGGGA